GAGACTGGCTGATGTGGGTGGTTGGGTGCAGTTTTAAAGTACGTACAACTAGTGTTAACAGAAATGCTTACTGTTCATCAGAGTCCTACTCTCCTTCTAGACAAAAAGGGGCTCCTGGGAAGTGACTGCCCTACAGTCCATTGCACTTAGGTCAACAGAACACAGAAGCCCTGTCCATTACATCCAGGCCTGGCCCTTAAGATTCTACTCAGCTGTCTTCCAGCTGAATGCTGGTGCCTCTAGAGCAGCCCTCCACTCAAATGAACTTCAAGCCTCATGTTCTAGAAATTAAAACTCTCAATTAAGAAATAAGTGCCTTAGTGTTCTACTCCACTGGACAAAAGAGATCCCTTTGTAGATTACAAATTACTTTCTGGACAAATATTCTGATCCCTTTTTTTTTTTTAAGATTTTTTATTTGTATATAGTGTTCTGCCTGCAGACCAGAAGAGAGCACCAAATCTCATTACAAATTGTTGTGAGCTACCATGGGTTGCTGGGAACTGAACTGGGGACTCTGGAAGAACAGCCAGTGCTCTTAACCTCTGAGCCATTTCTCCAGCTTCACCCCCACTTTTTTTAGAGTGTTTTATCTTCTTCATGCAGTCTCTCTGGAGTATGTTGACCACAGTGGTGCCTTGCTCCCCTCCCCTGGTGACAGAGCCCTTCCTCTGTACTAATCTTAGGTGGATATACAAATCCACAGTGAAAAACATAGTCTGAAATATGGATGAGTTAGGGGAAGGCTCTCCTTGATTTTCTTTTTTTTTTCCTTTCTGTTTTTAAGATTTTATTTATTTATTATGTATACAACATTCTGCTTCCATGTATAATCTGCACACCAGAAGAGGGCACCAGATCTCATAACAGATGATTGTGAGCCACCATGTGGTTGCTGGGAATTGAACTCAGGACCTCTGGAAGAGCAGTCAGTGCTCTTAACCTCTGAGCCATCTCTCCTTGATTTTTCGATGCAAGGTGGATCTTAATAAAGAGCAACGTCTTGCTTTTAAATTGAGTACAGGCTGGGAGTCCTTTCAGGTGCAGGTTTTCTGCCAACTCCGAACTTAAATGACCTTGTGGAGCAGAGTCCTACCCCAAATTGCTGTTCATTGAGTTTTTGTGAGAGGAAAATAGACCTTTAAGGTAGGAACCTTGGAATTTATGTGGTTATATAGCCCAGGATGGTCTTGAACTCTCAAGCCTCTTGCCTCAGCCCCTCTTAGAAATACACACCACTATGCCGGGCTCCTGGAAAAGATTCTTAGCTGCACATTGCATCTTGTTCCTTCAAACATAACTTTTTTTCCAGACAGGGTTTTATAATGTAGCTCTTGCTGGCCAAAAACTTGACATGTAGACTAGGCTGGCTTTGAAACTCAGCCATCTGCCTCTGACTCCAGAGTGTGCTGGGATTAAAGGCAGGCACCACCACACCTGGTTCAAAATTTATTATTTTGAACTAATTTATTATTATTTTTTAAAACTCAAGGACTTTTTTTTTTTCTTTTGAGACAGGGTTTCTCTCTGTAGTCCTGGCTGTCCCTCTATAAACCAGGCTGGCCTTGAAGTCAGAGATCCACCTGCCTCTGGAGTGCTGGGATTAAAGGCATGAGCAACCATCACTGGGCACGATCAAGGACAATTTTATTAGAATTTAAAAGAAACAAACCCAGGACAGGCAAGCTGTAAATTTTAACAGCTGTCCAGTGGGGGGGGGGGGGGGGGGGGATGGAGAAGGAAAAGAAAAAGACCATGCCAGTTGAGTTCTGCCAACATGGAGGTCTGCCATATGGCCAGGGGAGTGAGGCTTTAGAAAAAGAGCAAGGAATAAAAAAAAAAAAAAAAAAAAAAAAAAAAAAAGAATAGAAAGAAAAAGAAAAGAAGATAAGAAAAGAAAAAAAGCACAGTTAGTTCTGGCCAGCATGCAAAGAAAGGAAGAAAAAACAAACAGGAAAATTTGCACCTTCCAAACTCAGTAAGGTGCTGGACTAGCCCAGCCTCCTACTTCTGCTTGGCTCCAAGGGACTGCCCTAAGGGGAGGATTCTGGGAAGGGAAAATTCAGTCTGGAACTGAATTCTGACAGTAAGTATTTAAGATGTATATCTCATGGTTGCTGGTTGCAAGTCATGCTTCATAAAGGGAAAGATGTCATTTCTGAGACATTCCCATTACAAAATCCTCCACGTGGAGGCCACCTGCTAGGAAGCTGTGAGAAGCGCTCCACAGCTCTCTTTTCCTGCTGTGAGAGAATGAAGGGATTCCTAAAACTCTGGCCACACAGGAAATTATGTGTGATGAGGCTTCTCTGGTTTGGTGCCTATTATGGGCTGAATGGTAGGTAGATTCTCCCCAAGCCTGTGTGGCCATCTAAACCTAGGACTCCTAGTCCAAACCCTATTCAAAATTAACGAAGAGGCCTTCTTTAATAGAAATTAAAGTAAAATGACTACAGGATGGTTTAAAGAACAAAACAACAGCAACAACAAATCTTTAGAGATGTCCTTACAGGGGGAAGTATTCTTTATTACTTGAGGAAACAAATCTGCTAGAAGGAATGATTTTTCTGGAATCTAACAATACCTTGAAAGGTTTGAGAACCCCAGCTGGACCAGTTTGAATGCCACTTGACCTGGGCATTCTAATGTACTTACGAATTTTATGCCAACTCTAGTTTATCTTGGGGTCCAACTGTGGGACTTGGTAAAAAAAAGCTCGGGTTTACCTTCCCTCTGGGAGGCACTGGTTCTGCCTAGCTAAACCTGGGTTTCCAGACTTGCAAATATAATCTGCACCTAAATAGAGCCCTCTGGGGCTGGAGTCTAGCTCAGTGATTTCCTAGTACTTGGCTTTGATCCCCAACACTGCAAAACAAGATGAAGAAGAAACTCTGTCGGTGCTTTGTTTTAACCGTGTTTGTGGTTTCTTTGTTTATAATTTCTGAAGATACAGACTTTTAAAAGTGTAGCTAATGCTGGGTCATGGTGGTGCACACATCTTTAGTCCCAGCTCTAGGAGGCAGAGGAAGGCAGATCTCTGTGAGTTTGAGGCCAGCCTAATCTACATAGTGAGCTCTAGGCCAGCCAAGCCTATATAGACCTCATTTCAGAGCAGTGTGTGTGTGTGTGTGTGTGTGTGTGTGTTTGTGTGTGTGATAATTAATATAATTCAACATGGCTGGTACATTTTTATTAATATATTTTTTAAATGTATATGTGTGTATGTGTGTACAGGTGCCTATTCACACATGTGGTAGTCAGAGAAAACCTATGCAGAGTTGGGTCTATCCTGCCACTTTTATGTGGCTTCTGGGAATTAACTTGGGTTATCAGACTTTCGTGGCAAATGTCTCCACCCACTAAACCCTCTCACCAGCCCCCAGGTTCATACAGAAGAAAGGCTATCTGCACACAAAGATACCATCTACAAGGCAAAGGCAGAAGCCTCAGAAGAAACAACCTTACCCTCACCTCCAGAATTGTGGGAAAATAAATATCCATTCTTTAAGCCACTCAGTCTGTGGCACATTGCTACAGCAGCCCTAAGAGTAGTGACCAGGAAACTGAGGACAACTGGAAACACCATTTATTATTTTTATTTATTTATTTATTTATTTATTCAGCACAAATCACCACCACAATTATTTCCTTTGCTTCCCAGCCCTAAGATATCTGCATCTGTAAGAAGTTGTCTTCGCCGGGCGTTGGTGGTGCACGCCTTTAATCCCAGCACTTGGGAGGCAGAGGCAGGCAGATCTCTGTGAGTTCGAGACCAGCCTGGTCTACAAGAGCTAGTTCCAGGACAGCCTCCAAAAGCCACAGTGGAACCCTGTCTCGAAAAACAAAAACAAAAAAAAAAAAAACAAAAAAAACAAAAAAAAAAAAGAAGTTGTCTTCATCTATTTCAAAGTCACTTTTTTCCCATTGTAGGATCAGACCTGAAATTCCAACACAGGAGGTTTGAGGCAAGAAGATTGCTATGAGCCAGCCTAGGTTACTACACAAGTTCTAGTCCAGTCTGAGCTACAACGTGACACCCTGTCCTCTCCACCCTCTCCCCACCCCACCCTACCCCCGTTTCTCCTCCACACCTAAAGAAAACAGAAAGAAGCAGAAAGCGGAGGGAGGGTGGTACTGGCAGGGTGGTACTGGCATGGGGGTTGTGTGTGTGCACGGTTGGGGTGCAGTGGGGGTGTCTGTCATATTTTTTTTCTATTTCTGAGCTAGAATCCTCCTGAAAGCTGGGCACTTCACTCACTGTCACAAAGCTTGGACACATGAGGATGAATCTGAAAGAGACTTTGCAAATAAAGCTAATGAAGAGCCTGTGGACCAGCTGTGTTGTCTCAGTGGTGGGTGAGCTACCCACCGAGCATTGCTCCAGCTATTCAGCTGTTGCTATGGCAGATCCCACAGTGGTGCCCTTGGGAGCATGCTCAGTGTAGCTGGTGTGGGGTGGGGGTGAGCTCAGAGTCTTGTCTTCCTGGTAAATGAGTCAGTATAATTGAGTGACTGATTCTAGAAGGCTTGTGGGATCAGCGATCATTTCAGCAATCATTCTTTTGATGTCTTTCAGCTACACTGGAACTTCTTCGGTCCAAGCTGAATACCAGTGGGGAAGATGTCAAAATATCCCACAGTGTTCCTGGGCAGATGGTTAAAGTCAACTTTGTTGCCTCCAATGGTCTTAGTAGTTATTTTGCTAGATTGTCTCAACGTCTCATCACCTCCATCCCATGATACTCACAGCTCTGGTTCAGGGTTGGGAATCTGGGGTTGCCTGGACTGCTGTGGGGCCCTGAGGAATCATGATCTTAACTTTACAAATGTACCCATGCAAACTCACACCTCTGCACACTTATTGCTGTCTGGTCTAGGCCAGCTCACTCATCTCTCTAGCTTTGTCCTTTTTGAGAAAGGGTCTCACAGTGCATCCCAAGCTGACCTTGAACTCAAAACATGCCTGTCTTATCCTTTCCAGTAGCTAGGGTTATACCACCATGTCCCAGAACTTTCACCTCCTCCTCTTCCTCCTCCTCCTCCTCCTCTTCTTTTCCTTCTCCTCCTTTTCCTTCCCCCCCCCCCCCCCCCCCGTGTGTGTGTGTGTGTGTGTGTGTGTGTGTAGATAAAAGAACAACTTATTAGAATCACTTCTCCCCTTCCACCTGTGGTATCCAGGGATTGAACTCAGGCTATCAAGCTTGATGGCAAATACCATTCCTTCTTCTCCCCTTCCCCCACTGAACCAGCTCACTGGCCCTTTTAAAATTATTGCTTATTTATTTATTTATTTATTTATTCAGTCGGGATTTCTCTATTAGTTATTCTGGCTAGAACTTGACAGGTAGAGTAGGTTAGCCTTGAAGTCACAGTGATCTTCCAGACTCTACCTCCCCAGTGCTGAGGTTATAAACATGTGCTACCATGCCCAGTAAATATAAAGCAACCTCAACTTTGAAATCCTCCTGCCTCATACTTTTCAGCAGTTGTTTACACAAGTGCACCACTACAGCTGGCTCCCTTCATTTTTAAAGATGTGTTAATCCATGTGTATGTGTGTGTCTCCTCCGTGTTTGTGCTCCAGTGTGCATGCATGTGTGTGAGCACACACACACGTGCCTATAGAGAACAGATGAGAGCTTCAGATCCTCTGGAGCTGGAGTTATAGGCAGTGTAAGCCACCCAGTGTGGTTCCTGGGGACCACATTCCAGTCTTTTGCTGGAGCAGGCAGCAAAAACCCTTAATCACAGTGCCTAAAAGGGTGGGCTGCCGGCAAGTTATGCTCTGTGCTCTTTGCACTAGTGAGTGGGGAAAAAACTAACAGCAAATTAGGCCTCCGATAAGCAAAGATATCCCTAGCGATCATTTGAGGACTATTTTTATAGCTCAGGGAAGCAGAAAGAAAACACTACTGGTGTTTTCTCTACCTCAGGATTTATTAAGTCAAAGACCATGAAAACAAGGTCCTTTCTACAGGCCACCTTATTTTTAACAATCCTATGAGATGGTTACCTTGAATACCCTTATTTTGAGATGAGGAAAGTGAAAATCAAGGTTTTAAAGCTGCTGAGTAGGGTACCTGGGAGAACTCATGTGTCTTACCCCAGAGCCCCCCAGAAGGCCTTTGAAGCCCAATGAAAACTCAGTGAAGAGAAATGCACCTGGGAATCGTTTTTTTTTTTTTTTAAATTATCACGTTTATTTATTTATTTATTAAAGATTTTATTTATTTATTATGTATACAACATTCTGCTTCCATGTATATCTGCACACCAGAAAGAACCACCAGTTCTCCTAATGGATGGGAGCCACCATGTGGTTGCTGGGAATTGAACTCAGGAACTCTGGAAGAGCAGTTGGTGCTCTTAACCTCTGAGCCATCTCTCCAGTCCCCTACGTTTATTTATTTTTTAATTTTATTTTATGTGGGTAGGTGTTTTGCCTGAATGCCTATCTGTGCATCACAAGCATGCCTGGTATCTGTAGAGACTGGAAGAGGGCATCGGACCCCCGGAACCTGAGTTAAGAAGCCTATGAGCAGCCATGTGGGTGATGAATTGAGAACTGAATCTCTGGAAGAGGAACCACTGAGCCCTGGCTCCAGCCCCACACCCGTGGGTCTTAATGGCCACTCTGGGATCTGTTCCTTAAGATCAAAGTAGTGATCCGGTTTGCGATCTGGTTTAGGGTTTCCCCCTCTTAAATACACATTTAGACACTTTACTTGAAATATAGTTCATTTGAAGACAATAATCTTACCATTTCCCTCTCTCTCCCACTAGACTAGACTTGTTCTCCACTAATACTAGTTCTTTTTGTTTTGTTTTGTTTTGTTTTGTTTTGTTTTGTTTCTTGAGACAGGGTTTCTCTATGTAGCTTTGAAGCCTATCCTGGCACCCGCTCTGGAGACCAGGCTGGCCTCGAACTCACAGGGATCTGCCTGCCTCTGCCTCCCGAGTGCAGGGATTAAAGGCGTGCACCACCAACGCCCAGCAATAGTTCTTAAAATCAGGCAGTTTTCTGAATTTCAGAAAGGATTGATTTTCCTCTCAGGTGCTAACACACCTGGCAGTAGTAAACTGGGTCTCTGGAGAGGACCATTCATTCTTGGATACCATTTGTGTACAGAAATATTTAGTAATCTGAAAATTTATCCTAGCAACTTAAACCCAAAGAAGACTCTTGTAGGAATCTTCTCCAAATAATTTTGCATTAGGATTTTTTTAAAAAGTGATAATTTTTCTGTCTACCCTGATGTATTGAAAGGGGTCAGCGGGTGTGTGTCCCCCCCTTTTAAAACAGAAATAGGGGATGTGGGATGGCGAGACACAAGTCACTCTCTTGTGGGGAGGCCAGATGGCAAGGAGAGAAAATTGCCAGGGGGGGGGTGGGGGAGGAGCCCCCGCCCACCCGGGGGCGCCGCGGGGGGGGCCCCTGCCACTGATGAGCTGGGCCGGGCCGCTGCAGGGGTCAGTGCCAGGTGGGGCGGAGTGACTGAAATCAGGCTTGGGTGGGATTCGAGGAGAAGTGAAGGGACGGGGAAGTCAAGGTTGGCCAGGTGGGTTGGGTGAGCGCTTTTCTCAATTCCACCACTCAGATCGTGGGCGTAAAGACGCAAACGTTTCCCTCCCCGACCCTTGTAGGATCCCGGCACCCCAGAGCTTGGGAACCTA